ATGAAAACCAAAAGATTATAAAATAAAGATGATGCAAAAGTAGAAAGGGGAGTATTAGGATAAGGGAAGAGGAAGAGAACTGGGGGGAGTGGGGAGAGAGGAGAAGGCAGGAGAGGGTCATAGGGAAGGTGGGTACTATCAAAACTTGACATGCACTTGTACAGAAATGTCACAGTGCAATCTATTAAYTTGTACATTAATAATTATAATTCTGAAAATAAAATAAACCTGAAAGGTAAGTTTTAAAAGAAATAACGAAAGAAAGAAAAACTGATTTTGTGTGACCTCTGGCTTTCTTTTTTAATTTTTTGGTGGAGCTGCTTATCATACCCAGGGCCTCATGCATACTGAACACAGATTCTACCACTGAGATACTCCCTGGCCACCACCATTCACCACCCCCACCGAAAAAAAAAAAAATTCAAATATAACCAGTCCTAAATCAAACAAACCTCAATCTAGTGAAACAAAAGCCACTCAGCAAAGAAACAAAGCCATAAAACAASGGTCCTGTAAATAAAGACTGAAGCTACTAGTCAAAGGTCAGGCTCCACACATGCTCACTGCAGAAGCGCCAGGCTCCTAGTCATGCCTGTGAGGAGAGAGTGAGTGGCTTTCACTACTGAAAGGCCGCCCAACACAGGAGTCACCTTCCCCTGCAGAAGTGCTTTTCCCACCCTGAGACCTTCTGCAACTTCCAAGCCCATCTCGGACCCATTTAATGCAAAGGCAGTAGACTTAGGACTGAAAATGAACTTAGACTCTCAGAGCTAGAAGTGACCTCAGCAGTCGCCCAGGCCCTAAGGCAACCATCCCTCCATGCAGAGAGGACAGTGTCTAGGGCAGGAGAAGAGAGAGAACCTGAAACTGTCTTCTCAAAGAAGAAAAAAATTGTCTGTGAGYCTTCTGTGCCTTTTCAGAACCTCAYAGGCTTTCCTAGAGAGGGAGGTAATTCTCTGACACAGTAGAAAGAAGGAGGAATAAATGAAACAGGCTTAGACCAAGGTTCTCCGTCCTTAGCAACTCTTACCCAGGCTCCACCATGAAGGAAACCCCGCAGAGAGGACCCTTGTGAAGCCACAAAGTTCAGAGGCTACTGAGTTTTCAACAGGGAACAGAATTTAACRCCAGGAGCAGAGAGGATTAGGGAGAGGAGACAGGAGGAAGTGAGATGCTAAGGAGACACAGCAGTGGTCTGTCTGTCCCCACTGTGCAGGAGGAGGTAAACTTTCTTTGAGAGAGCGGCCAGGGCCCCTCATGGCTGTGACTGAGCTCCTTGAGCAAGCCAGTCCTCCCAGCTGTCAGCCACAGCTGCAAAACAATAGCATAGGTTTGGAGGACCTTGCCCCTACTCTGGGAAACTGTTTCTTAACAGTGCCTGGTGCAAAAGGGCACCAATGTTTGCTAAACAAATACTAATATGTAGAATGATTCCTGTTTTCTACCGAGCCTAGGAGCAAGGCAATGGCATGGTGAGAGGTATTCACTGAGCAGCAGCAGCAACACTAGGATGATATTCATGACTACCTTTTATTAAGCTCTGGGCTCTCTCCTTTACCTAAAGCATCTCACTTGGAGCTCATCACATTGCCTGTGAGGTAATACTACTATTATGCCATTTAGAGACAAGGAAACTGAGGCTAGAGATTAAATAACTCACCCTAGGTCATACAGCGAGGAAGCCTGAGGCCTGGATCCCAGCCTGGGTCAAAGGATACAGAGACTTCACTGCCTCTGGACTCTGCTCTCCAGGACCAGTTGTCAAACATAGTTGCCATTGTGGATGGTTTTGGCAATAATGTATTTAAAAGAGAAACACAATTAGAAGCACTCAAGAAGAGTACTAATACCTTCCCACATGTTCAGATGATAAAAAGTTGGTTTTTTTAGAATAAAAATAAATTGATATATGTGTGCATTTATATGAACATGCATACTTGTGTATACACACACATACACACGATTTTTTTTTTCTAGAATCATCCCTCATAGAGTYGGTCTTCAGTGACAGAGACTGTAAAGATCTTATGTTGGATATTTTAGCTGGACACAGGGATGAGAATTTGGTAGTAACTTGGTTAACAGAACGAAGAAGATAAACTATTTACTTTTTGTGTTATTCAAACTTTTCTGGGAGCAAATTAATTTTTACTTAATAAGTAGATAAAGACTTACCAGCATAAGGACTTACTGGCATAAATACATTTGATCATATTGGACGATGCTAATTAAAAAAAAAAGCCCAAAAACTTACCAGATATCTAAAGACACCACAAAGAAAATCTTCTTGGGAGACCAATGTAGAAACAGATTCTAAAATCAAGTACTAAGAAACTTCAATGATATCTCTCTTTGGAGACAGGGACATGAATGAACATACTAAAACTTGTTTCCATCCCTAAAGAGGAGGTTCCTTTATATCTATAAGTGCAGAGGCTTCTTTTACAATGACTTTAACTACAGAGCAAAGGCAACTAGTAAATTGAAATCTTTCTAAAGTTGTAAGGATCACCCACATTCTACAACTATTGCTTATGAAAAACTAAAACAGATTTAAATTAAYGAGGCAATAAAATATTTCAAAAGTGCCAATATGTGTGGTTAGAAGTGCAAGGCTCTAGGTTCAATCCCCAGGACCCCCCCACACACACACACACATACAACCTGTGCATGATGCTATTTTTAAAATAATATTTATCTAATAAAGAAAATAAGAAAGCAACACTCAAACACCCCAAGAAACTTTCACGTGTTCTCTCATTAAATTAATCACCCCAAAAGATTGATGATACCTCCCCCTGTCCCAAAGAGTAAACAGGCAGAGAAAATTAGGGAATCCCCCCAAGGTTAAACATTTAGTAAGTAAAAGAATTGGAATCTGTGGAATTCCAAAGCCATGTATTTTTCACTACTCCTTGCTTTACAAGGAAGAGGAAGGAGGGATGGATAGAAGGAAAGGGWGAAAAAAAAGGGAAAGAAACAGTCCCGGCTGCTTTGCTATTGTACAAGGCTAGGTTTAGGATCCCAGAGGCCAACACAGGCTGAACCTGGAATCATTCCTGAAGGTGCCTCACAGAGGAAGACTTCTTTACTGAATCATTATTTTAAATCCTCAATCTAAAACAACCGAACAGAACAAAACCTCCCACTTCCCTCACTAAGAAATAATAACAAGTGAACATGGGTATGAATTTTCTTAAAATAAAATCAGAAGGAAAGCCTTAACAGAGCCGACCCTAAGCTCACACAGGTGGCATCTGAGCTGGCTGGGAGGTTGTTTCTCAGTAACCTACACAAAGAACCACTAAAAATTATCAAAGCCCAGCGACTAGACAATGACAAATGAACAAAGCGGATAGGGTTTCTCTCCCCAAATCAGAACAAGGAAGCCTCCACTACATAATAAAAATCATTAGGAGGCTTCAGAGGAGTAATTGCAGGCAGGCGTGACTTCTCCCCAGAAATTAATCAGCTAATAACCATCCATCATCTTTCGCGCAGTATATGCATTTATAATAGGGCTTTAAAAGGTCTACAACAATAGACTCAGAGTTAATGAAAGACATTTTAGGCCTGACCCAGAAATACTCCTTAGACGATGAGAATTAGAGCTTCTACGTCCCATTTTGTGCTGTTTTCCTTTTTATATGAGCTTCTGTTTCCTATTCACAGAGACTTTATCATGGTTTGTAGCTTTTGTTCCTGAAAGCAGTTAACCTCCGTCAGTAACCTTCTGTGTGCTGGTAACTGATGGTAAATGGTCTCCCAGCACTCCACTAGCACTGTCCGGTTTAATTCTCGGAGGGAGGGAGTGCGGGGCAGAATTTTGAAGGCAACGCAACCAGCGAAGGGAGCGAATCCTTTCACGCCAACAAGGAGGGCATTCAGTGGAATTCAGTGGTGTCCGAGCTACCCAAGAAAGGGTAGGAGACCGCCGTAGGCACTGCGTGCAGGCCGAGGGGACTCGCTGAGCGTGAATGTAGCCCGGGTTCCTTTTACTTTGGCGTCTTAATTCCCCTGCCCCGTTCCGCATCCTCTCCGCACCTAGTCCTCTGCCTAGGCGGAGTCCGGGGATTTGTGCTTGGAGCCTCCCCGGTCGGGGMTTGTGCGCTCACACCTCCCTTGGAGAAACTGGCCCGACACTTCAAGGTTTTTCTTTCATTTGGGCAGGGGAAGGGGATTGGAGCTGTAGGAGGTTGAAGCAATCGCTTTCTCCTTGACATCTCCCGCAGCCGCCCAACAAGTGGCCCCTTCACAAGCACAGAGATGACAGCGCCAGACGTCAAATTGGGGAGGGAAGGGGATGGCCCGCGGCAGTGCCAGGGAGCTGGCGGACCTACCCTACGGCCACCAGAAAGAAAAAACAGCAGTCCTTTTCCCCATCCCGTCCCCCACCTCGAATTAAAACTCATTAAAACTCAAGGAAAATGTCAAGGGCTGGGGGTACCYGGCCCTGAAGCCGGAGTCGCGGAGRCGACCGATTTCACCCCCACCTCCATCCCTCTCGCAGGTGCGGAGGAGGCTTGAGACATTTGGCCTTAAATTCAGTTTCTAAGCCGTCTGCATCCGCCCCAGGAAGGCATCCCTGCAGAACGCGACAACTGGGGTACTCCCAGAAAGGGGCGTCCACTGCAGGGCAGCCAGCGGCACTCCAAAGCCCTGGCTGACTTAACACCTCGGAGCTCAACCCCGGGCCGGCGGCGACATGCAAACCAACGAAAAACTCTAACAGCTTCCGCAAGTTCTCGCCTCGGGAGAGGTGAAAATCCCAAGGACCTCTTCACAGAGGAGTCTGCCTTCCCCGAGGGTGCGAAGGCTCCTGGCACCCCCAACACAAATCCCACCCTTGCAGGCTCGGAAGTCCAGGGGCCGACGGCTGCTTTCACCGCATCTGGGATCCCTGGGGTCTGCTGGCCCGGGGACCACCATCGGTGCCGCGGGACCCTGGCAGGCTGACGGGACTGGGGAGTCCGGGGGCCCCGGCGCCGCGCTCCTCTTACCTAGCGTTCGCTGGGCCCCGGTTGGGGCATCCGCCGGGTGCGCGCCGCTCCAATCCTCGCTGCGCACCTGGCCGCCGCCCGCCCGGCCCCAGCCCTGCGGCCGCACTAGCGCTTCATGGCTCACGGGGGCTGGCCGGGGGCCCCGGGAAGCGTGTCCAGCTGGCGGCGACTCCTCCGGCGGCCGTGGCTCGCCAATGGCTCCCGCCTTCCCCCGCCCCGCGTCAGTGCGCCCTTCCTCTACGGCCGCCCTTTTCCCCTGGCTCTGCCGGACCGGCCAAACTGGTTTCTCTGCTCCAGGGAGGAGCCTCTCGTCTCCCTCCGGCAGGCGCAACCGCGGCGCGCGGCTGGGGATGAGGCTGAAGCTGGGGCTGGGGCTGGGGCTGGGGCTAGGGCTGGGGCTGGGGCTGGGGGCGGACCAGGCCGTCTGCCCTTCCTCTACCCCTCCCACCGGCGGCCCTAGGGTTGGCAAAGACGGCCCAAGTCGAGTCTTGCGTCCTTCGTGCGTCCCGGCGGCAGGTGAGCACCCTGACGGTGCCCAGAGCGCGCCCTCCCGCTTCTCCCAGCCTGTGACTCGGCAGCTGCTGTCGCTCACTGTACCCCAGGCGCTCCAGTCCCTGGGCTGCAGTCACCACCCCGCCCCATCAATTCCGCGTCACTTTCCCGCCCTCTGCCGGCTTGGTCACAGCTTGGGGTCGGTGACCGCGCCAGCCTGGAAAGCTGGCGGGGCCTCCGCGCCCGGGACCTGAACTCCCTCTGTAAGGGGAGCCGTGTTCCTCGGTTCGCCGCGCCAAGGGTAGGAATAGAGAGGACGCCGAAAGAGGTGGAGACAACTTTTCCTTTAATTGCAGCAAGCGGACTAGACTCTACTGAGACCAAAGTCGCTCGGAGTTAAGGTGYTATGTGTGAACCACGCAATGTAGTTGGTGATTTTGGATCTGCCTGCCTCCTTCGTTGCTGGTTGGTGTTTGTAGTGTGAATCGTGCTTTCCCGCAGCAAGTACAGTACACGCCTCACACCAGTTAACTCCCGGTTCGCTAGGTTCTTACTGTGCACTTGCTGCGGACAAGTCTCTGGTATCAGAATCCAGGAAAGTCAATGGTTTGAATTTGCTTAAGGGCTGAGGATGTAGCTCAGAGCGCTTGCTTAGCGTGGCCGTGGGTTCAAGCCTGAGCGCTGCAAGAAGAAAAATTACTTACAATGCTGTAAAGGAGATAGGTCTCCTGGACAAATATCAGTTACCTGCAAATCAGAGAGGCTGACTTCCTGCCTTAGTTCAAGCTCCCAACTGGTAGCATTAAGGAGGCTTTTACTGAGGAGGTGAAACCTACAACTTTAGGGATGGAAACTGGGTGGAGAGGGCTGTTCAAATGCCCACTGACTGATCCAACTCATATTGTTAAGCTCAAGACTGCCTCAGGGTTCCTTTTCATCTGTCGCATTGATCTTTGGTGTTGCTGGTTAGTCTTTTTCTCTGTCTTCATTTGTAAAATGAAGTTGTACTAGATGATCTCAAGAAGTTCCTTCCAGCACTTATTTTCTGAACCTAATAACTGAGCAAAGGGGCTGAAGCAAAGAACAGAGGGTCTGTGCAGCGACAGTGGAGTGCACAGGTCTGTCTGCAGTGTGGTGGTGAAGGATGAGGCTGCCCTAGGCCAGGAGTTGTCTTGGTAGTGTGCGTGACCACTGAAAGTTCATGACCACTGCAGTGACATGATCAAGGTTGCGTTTTAGAGAAAAGAATAGCTAAGAGTGAAGATGACCATATCACCTGGGAGTGAAGATGACCATATCATCACCTGGGAGGCTAGTTTAGCAACATAAAGTGGGTCTGAAGGGGCTGCCAGTGGAAGGCAGGAGGAGGAGATTAAACCCACATCACTGGAGAGAAATGGGCAGGGAACTGAGTGGCCTGAAATTGTGACCAACTGGCAGAAAGGAGCCTGGAAGATGAATCAAATTCTCAAGATTGGGTGAAGGCATGGTAAGAGGGGCAGAGGCAGAATGAAGAAAGCCATTAGGAAGCTCTGCCCCCATGGGAGAAAAGACCAGCAAACCTGCAACTATAGCAGGCAATGGAGATGGCTCAGTGGTAGAACATTTGTCTAGTGTGCACAAGGTCCAGGGTTTTATCCCTAGCAACCACCCACCCAAAAGAGAGAACTCCAAATTAAAAGAGGGATCTTCTTCTTGCAGCTTCATTTAGAAGTGTTCAATCTGTGCAAGAAAAGGTTGCTTAGAAGGGAATACACTAGGATACATTCAATCCACACCTCAGAGCAGCTACACCCCACCCCAGTGGCTACTTTTAACATGGCTGTGCAGACACCAGAGATTTCAAGCTAGGTTTCTCCTCCCCTTACAGGCTACAGTGGAGGGGAGGTGTGGATATTGTTTCAAAGATTAATTAATTCAACAACTATTTGTTGAGTACCTACTATGTGCCAACACTTTCTGGTTGCTTAGGTACATCTGAACCAAAAAAAAAAAAAATATGTTATCTTAAAAGATAGAAAGTGCTTTGAGAAACTAGAATAGACCTGATTGGGAAGGTACCCTGAACAATTCTTCTTTGGGGGTGCTAGGAAAATTCCAGCTCACCTGAAGTCCTGTCCTTTGTCCCCTTGTCCTCTCTGAAAGGACATGCAAAATTTCGGAGTGCCTTGTCTGGTCAATCATTGAAATTATCTCATGCATGCAGCAAGGATTAATTTTGAAATGTCTTTCATGAGTCACTGAGAGATGGCTTCTTTGTCTTGGCAGAGCCTCTATCTCACTTGCCTCAGCAATTCTTTCTCAGTGTTCTCCAGTGAGACTGAACAAGCAAGCACTCTGGTGTTATTTAGATGCCTCTCCCATTCAGTAGTCTACACCTTGCAAGCTGCTGGGGGAAACTGAGATTTAGCAGAAGCAGCCATTTCTAAAAGAATGCCGCAACGCTATAAGCTTTTGTAGTTCAGAATTTCCTAGAACTTTTTTCTTTTTCCCTTTTTCTTGACAACGTGCACATTTACATGAGGTGGATAAAAAGGCTGGGGTGATTGCCAAGAGAACTACTTCAATTTTACTGAAATTTTTTTCTAGAATTTTTTTTCTTCTTCAAGATAAGAGCTGGGGATAAAAGATGAACTGAAAGGGAGGTGATATTACCTGTATTCAGTTGTTTACTAGCATTGTTCATTTAAGCTAAATCATTTAATGCCAATGGAAAGATATTTGGGCCCACTAAGTGCCATTGTTAACCCTACGGTGGCAGTCAAGATTAACTCAGTTGCAAGTTGAATTCTTCATAGCCATTGCCCAGACTAGCTTCGGAATTTTATTCTTTTGTTTTATGGGGTGCAAGGGATTGAACCCAGGGTTTCCTACATGCTATGCAGGAGCTCTTCCTTTAAACTATACCCAGTTCCAAGTATTTTTTATTCTGGTAATATGAATTGAACCCAAAGACTCCCTCATGCTAGACAAGGGCTATACCACTGAGCTACATCCCCAGCCCTTTTTATTTTTATACTGAAATAGAGTCTCACTAAGTTGCCCAGGATGGCCTCAAACTTTTGTCATCCTCTTGTCTAGCTTCCTATGCCTAGTCAGTTCCAAAATTTTTAAATACAGAGGGCATTTCTTACATGAACCTATCTTTGCAATGGTTGGTATTTTAAGCTTCAATTCTGTGTGCTTCCTTTAAAATGGTGTTTACAAATGACAGATAGAGATGATATATTCTGTTGTCTCTCTCACAAATAATTTTCCACATTCCTCCTGAGTGACTTAAACTTTCTACTCCTTTACCACTATTTTTTGGAACCAGCATTAAAAAAAGCATATATATTAGATTGCATGCTTGATGCAGTGGTGCATGCCAGTAATCCCAGCTATTCAGGAGGCTGAGGCTGGAGAATCACAAAAGTTTGAGGTTAGCCTGGGCAACTTAGTGAGATCCTGTCTCCAATTTTTTTTTTTTAATGGCCTGAGGTGTAGCTCAATGGCAAAATGCCTGTTTAGCATGCATGAGGTCCTGATTTTAAATCTCCAGTACTAGAAATAAAATTAARATAGATAATAAAAGAAACACTAGCATTCAGGGAACTAAGTGTGTCTCAGTTATTTTGGCAATGGTCCAGGCTTAGAATGTATGAGATGATGTTGAGAAAGGAATTAGACCTGAGCATCCTATTAAAAGTCATTTCTCTTTCATAATCATAAATATGTAAATATGTAGAATTTATATACAGTTCTTCTTTTTTATAAAGAAGAGATTTAGTAAACCATTATTGTCTGTGTGGAAATGTAATGAACATTAGATTAACCTGGAATTGATAATATAATATCAGTTAAACTTACCATTATTAATTCAACATTTACTTAAGAATTTCCAAACTATATTATGATCATCATTAGGACATGTTGCCATGTTCTCCTATAGTTGTAAACAATCTGTCATATTATCTGGTGTTCTGTTTTCATAATTTTGTATTATATCATGAAAACATGTTGACCTTCATCCTTTATTCTTTCTAAGCTACTTCTGATGGTCCCCTGGGTTTTTGAAAAAAATTTTTTATTTGTTCTTTGTAGTTGTACATGACAGTACAATCTATTTTGACATAGCATACACACATGAATTATAATTTCCCATTCTTGGGACTGTACATGATGTGGAGTTTCACTGGCTGTGTATTCATATATGAACATAGGAAAGTTATGTCCAATTCATTCTACTGTCTTTCCCATTCCCATCCCCTCCCTTGCCTCCACTCCCCCTACCTCCAATTGAGTGAACCTCCCCTCCTCCTTCTTCCCCACTTATTTTGAGTGAGCATCTGCATATCAGAGAGAACATTTGGCCTTTGGTTTTATGAGATTGGTTTATTTCGCTTAGCATGATAGTCTCCAGTTCCATCCCTTTACCAGAAAATGCCATAATTTCATTCTTCTTTATGGCTGAGTAATATTCCATCGTGTATATACACCACATTTTCTTTATCCATTCATCTGTTGAAGGGCACTTAGGTTGGTGCCATGGCTTAGCTATTGTGAATTGAACTGCTTATAAACACTGATGTGGCCACATCACTATAGTATGCAGATTTTAAGTTCTTTGGGTATAGACTGAGGAGTGGGGTAACTGGGTCAAATGTTGGTTCCAGTCCTAGTTTTCTGAGGAATCTCCATCCTGCTTTCCAGAGAGGTTGCACTAATTTGCAGTCCCAGATGGTCCCCTGTTTAAGCTGCTAGTTTCTGAATAACAATGGGTTATTCTCTTAGCTTGAAACATCATCCCCCATCTGTCTAATCCTTTCATCCTTCACATCTCCATTCCAAGGGGGCTTCTTTTGGGAAAGCTGTGCCCTGTATCCCCCAGATGGCAGCCCCCGCCGCCCCCCTGCTTTCTAGCATGCAACTCCAGGGAAGCTTCCCATTGTCTTTCCATGTCCACCTGCCTCACTCCCCGCTGCACAGTGAGCCCCAGATTGTTCTGGAAGTGAGGGGTTAGGACCCGTTTTGAAATGAGGGTC